CAGGAATTCTTTTTGTTGTGGAAAGCAGCATCGCGCCGCTGTCCTCCGATCGGGCCGGTTTACGCCGTCCGCGCGTAATTGGCTAACCGATTTCGGGGAACGAGCATTGTGTTCCGTTTCGTGGAAACGGCCATCTCGCTCGCTGCACGGGGATGCGTGCGTGCATCTTGTCAACTCGCGGCGCGTTCGGGCCGAGGATGTTTACGCAATTACGGAGTCATTTGAGCCACTGATTGGTCAAATTGGTCAACTCCATTTCTCAAGTTTCGAGGCGTTTGTATAAATACTTATTTGAATCTTTCAAAATTGTGAACTCCAAACGCCTTCGGATTATTGTTTATTTATTAATATTAGAGTAGACTGCATATTAGTTGGTGTTGGAGGTAATGTCAAAATTCAATGTACAGTAAACATGTATTATTGCTGAACATGGTTTTGAGCTTCTGACGAAAAGAAAGATTTAAAGCAAATTCCTTTGTTATTGGGTTTAGTGGCACGGGATAACAAGAATTATTTTCGGAAAATTGCGAAAATAATAAAGGTTCGAAGGTGTACCATTTTATGCGTGAAATGGTAATCGATAGATTAAGCTACACCCGTGGTTGCCTAAGTAATACAGATTCTATAACGTTTACTTCGTTTTCCATATAAAGAGAAATTTTCAAAATCAACGTCCACCGTTGCATCACTCTGTTCTCTACTTTCTGTTCTGCGGAGTTAATCGAATCGACTAACGAGTGGCTCATTTGTAAAAGCGGTCGGCGAACGTCATTAGCATTTACCGTGCAGCTGAAAAATGATCGATCAATCGCAGAATTTCGATTCCGAGGGGAACAGAATGTAGCAGGCGTCACTGCTCCACTATTCTTCATTGATCATTCCTCTTGCTGCTCCATTGTTTCATTATTCCTACATTAAACTACTAATTCACTTACATCAGACTATTCCATAGCAACCGAACAGCGAATCTTCTATCTCCACACGAAATATTCAATTTTCATCCAGCCGTACCGGTTCTACCCCTTCCAACAGTCTCATCTTTCACGTAAACGTCCACAATTAACCCTTTGCTCTCGAATTACCTGACTCGACACCTTAAAACTATAAACTTCAACACATCAACACGTGAAACATCGAAACAAACCAACTTCGTTCCTCAATTTATAGTTTCTCCCTCTAAGCAACTCCAGAAAAGTCATCTACATCAAACATTCAACATTTCATAACATGTCTTGCAAGTACAAATGTCTGCACTTTCGAGCGCAGAGTTCTAAATTTATTCTACACTTTATTCAATTATTCCTAGAAACCTACATAAATCGCGAGAATTCCAAAACCAGAATATCGCGTACATAATTGCACGAATCAACTTGAATTGCTGCTAAATAATGCCTAAAAAATTCAATATTCAAGTCGTCGACTTCCGTAAATCCAGTGTTAATTACAGTCCACGCAGTATCTTCGCATCGCGAACTCCGAAAAACGGGAAGTGGACGTTCAATGGAAATCGGACTGGCAAACTGCTAAACCGTACAACTCGAATATCCTCGTTACGAAAGCGGTAATTTCGGCCAAGTATTCACGGTTTAACTGATAATAATCGTGGAGAGCGGGAGAGAGAGAGAGAGAGAGAGCTGCTTGTCCCGCGCAATTCCGGCTTGATTGCTTTACGTGATTATTTCGCCGGATTTCGCATCGATCTCGGAGCATGCCCGATTCCGTGCACCCTGACTCCGATGGCGCTCGGTCCGCGCCGCGTCCAGAGGATCCTCTCTCTCCGGCGTTCTCCGTTGCCACTTTTTCTCCTCCATCCTCTCGCTGTCTCTCTGCTCCGTTCCCACTCTCCCGTCGCTTTCTTTGTCCGCTCGTCGCTGGCCGCCTTTGTCTCCGCGAAGTACGGAGAGTCTCGCCTCTCTTCGCTGTTTCCTCTCGGCCGTGTCTTTTTAAGCTGATTGATCGATCGAATTGTCGCGGAGCGTGTTGCGCACCGCCGATGCTCGTTGTTTTCTAAGTCTAGGTGTTCGTTCGAAAGAATTCGGAACTGCGGCTGCTCGCCGAAAGGGTTCATTGTAAGGAACGGAATGTGGACTCGAATGGTTCAAGTTATCTGGAAACGTTATTGACGCTGGGTTTACGGAACCTAGATATTATATGCTAAACATTATTCAGTAATAGTTTCAGTCGATCTTGATTCGCGCAGTTATGCGAATACGCAACACTCTCGTTTTGAAGGTATTTTCGCGATTTATATACACGAACGCGTAGTTCTCTAGGAACAATAGAATAAAGTATAGAACGAGTGTCCGTAAATCTAGTGTTAACGAGGGGATTCAAGGGAACTTATTTGAATTAATCTATGGTCAGTTGCTTTTGAAACATTCGAGAGCATACGCTTCTTTAATGCTCAGTGAAAATTATTCAAGTTATCTGGAAACATTAATAAATAAGGGGATTAAAGGAAACTTATTTGAATTGAACCAATTTATCAGTTGCTTTTGAAACATTCGAGACTACATTTTACCCTTCTGTACTCAGTAGAAATGAAGAAAATCCTGAGTTAAAACAGGAACAATAAAATTTGTTTCGAAATATTTGTTGTTTGGAGTAAAGAACTTTCCGTCGAAGAAGTCGCAAATAGAAGAGCAGAAGAGTAAAGTATTTTGGAAGTTGCATCTGAAATGTGAATACATCGCGACGTTGCGTCGAGAGTACCGATGAGTTCGACGACGATCGGACGATCCACTTGAACGCGGTGCCCGCCTGCGAAAAACGCTCCCCGGAGTACGGTGGTTTTACTCTCGAACGAGCGTGCATTCATCTCAGACCAATCGCGCCGTGATTAATGGTACATTGTTTTTGTCTAAATTGAATCGTACGAGCGGATAGCAAGACCAGCCTCGACGCGGCGCAGAAAAATAACGGCGTGCGAACTATCGCGGGCGGATTAGCGTACCCGCTCCTTAATGGGAACGCGTTGGAGTCCGCTTTCCCTTCTCGCCTCGGATCCTCAGATTTCGTGGTTTTCCCCCGGTAATTTTCATTTCCGCGAATTCGTTGCATTCGTTGTTACGCGCCCGACTGCGAATTAATGGAACGAGCCTCCCGACGGTCGCTTTCGCAGTGTTTTGCAGTATTCCTCGGGTTACCCTCGTTTCCTTGAAGACGTTTCATATCTCAATTTCATTTTTTATTGCAAACACAAGAGAAGCTTCCAATTGGCTTCTAATTTCGTCGGGCGATACAGAGTTCTGAATTCGCGAGGGTAATCGCCTTTTATCGTCCGCCAGTTTCATCCTCGAAATTTCCTTCTCTGGGTCGTTCCTCCGCTCGACGGCTTTCGCGGTGAAATTGCGGCGGCGAATTAACCGAGGGAATATTTAAATCGCCTAGCAAGTGGAACAGGTTTCAATAGAATGTCGCGTCGATTCGAAAAGTAGATAAAAACCGTCTGTGTCAGACACGCGGCGCGACCCGATAGGCGGATCTTTCCTTAATTAACGGCGCGCGGTTGTGGGTACGTGCGCGCGTATTCGAAGCATTGTTATTTGGGGGAAAACGTGTACACCCGTGAAAGTTCTGGCGCCGCGTTTCCCCGTAGATCGAAATGCGCGATTAGGCCGGCGGCGTGTGAACCGTGTGCAGCAGATTGAACCGTGATTCGATCCGATTGTGCGCGTGCTCGCCAATTATAATTACCCAAGAGTGTAAGGTTCCCTCCGCGCGTTGTATAGGCAAATTAAAGCTGGGGCCAAAGGTCTCGGGAATTGCCTGCGGAGCCATTCGGAACTACAGTCTAGCGAACGCGTTGACCTATTATGCGAATCATTCTAATACTTAAAATCACCGCTTCAAGAAAATTCGCGTGATAGAAGAATCTGGTGCGTCCAGCAAATGTATCAGGGTTTAACTACAATTTGAGAAATTCGAAGTTTCCCACTGGAAATATTCAACTTTCTATAATGGATATAGACGAGATTTGAAACTAATGAGAAAACACACGCGAACTAAGAGACAAAGAACTATGTCATACTATATTATATCAATATTCTATTATATCAAAGTATTGTATACATTGTATAGTAGTTCTATATTCCAAGTCCAAAGGGTTAAGGTATTCACTTTCTAACCACCGAAACTTCATTGATTTCTCTCGAAGGGTTAACACACTCGCTACCAGCGTCACATATTTGTCACGGTAATCCTATATTTTACATAACGAATGAAATTAATCCTACAGATATTTCTTTAGAAATTACAAACTACGACATTCCATTTAACAACTGACTCGTTTCAGTTTCATTCTTCTAATATTTTGTTTAGATTCATTGGACTGAAGATATTATAATCGAGGAGACCGTCACCGAAATACGCGCTGGTAGCGAACGTGTTAAGGATGATCGCTTCCTGCATGCCTCGTTTCGCTACACAGTCGATCCTATCGTTACCGCCACGCAGCTACGTAACCATTAAAAGTGTCTTTTTCTTCTCGCAGAAGATTGAGGAGTATTCGTCGAAGTTGCAGGAGGAATACATAGTGAGCGACATCGACCCCGAGAGCATCACGTTCATAGACTGCAACGAGGAGACGAACGGCTCGGGGACCGGCTCGTTCAACGCCTCGTTGAGCGAGGATGCCGAGGAGTCGTCGTCGTCCAGCCTGAAGGCGATGAAGCTGTACCGCGGCTCGCTGCCGGACCAGAGCAGCCCCATCGGCGACCTGGACGAACCCGCACAGACGAACCTGGAGACAGAGCCGGCGGCCGAACGGAGGCGAACGAAAGAAGAGTTCACGAAGTTCGCGGAGAGCATCGCCGTGCAGCTAGCGGAGATCCCGGACTCGTACTCGAGGTCCGTCGCGAAGCTCAGGATCAACCAGATCCTGTTCGAGGCGGAGATCGGCGTGTACGCGCAAACGCGCCGCTAACGAGTGCGATTCAGGGACATTATGGCGGATGTACTGCTGGAAGAGGACGAGGAGGATTGGTGAAACGGGGAAGACGAGTCCGTCGGAGCATGGATCGGATTAATACGTAGAATCCTGGTGGGAGATGATAAGTGTTCGAAGTTTCCGGGTGTAAGCCGCGTCCGTTACGAATGATTTACCGATATTTCGCTGGCACTGCAGCTGGCATCATCAGGGGATCGAGTTAGTTTCACACTGGTTGGCCGGAATCAGTGCTACCTATTTAAATGTATGCCTTGCTCGCCGTTGCGGATGAATGATCGCCAATCAGGCGTTTTTAATTGGTTAGCTGATCGATTACAGCACTGATTCTGGCTAACCGGTATCAGCGAGTCCTTCGACCCCTAATGATGCCAGTTGCGGCGAAGCGGAGCTTCAGGAGATCATTGCTAATGGACGCGACTTACACCGGAGAAATTTGAACACTTGTAGTGTTCTTGGATGGGACAGCTACGAACTCCTGGTGGCAGATATTTAGACTGGAGACCGTGGGAAGAATTGTTTGTTAAGGATGGAGATAGGGGATTGAGAGGGTCGTAGATGTTTGGCGTATATGCAGTGTTTCAACGATTCGTGTCGCTTGTTGGTGGTTTACTTGAGTAATGATGGAGTTTATGAGATTTTGTGATGTGACAGGGTTAAGGGGGATGATGAACTTGTGTATGTACTGTAGAATGTTCTTTTGTATAGAGTTTTAAGTGGCTCTTGTTTTGGAATGTAATCCAGTGTATTTTTAGAGGAATTGGTTGTTGATTAAGTTCAAGATTAAACGGATAATTGTATTACTATTTTGTATGATTGTTGGGGTAAGCTGAAAATCAACTTCAAGCGACGACGACCGTTCGGACTATTGATACGCCAATTATATTTTTCATTTGTAACACCTTCAATGAATGATTCTTACCGCAGTCTCGTAGATCCGTGGAATCGAATATTTTCCGCCAGTGGCGTTACCATGCGCGGACGATGGACTCGATGATGACCAACATTGACGTTGAAACGGAATAACTCTTGGAATGGGAGAACCGATCCGTTCCAACCAGATCGAATATGTAATATTATTAGCGACGCCGTCAGTTGGGCACGAGTACGTGTTGTAATATTATGATAAAAAAAAGAGGAATAAAATCTGTAATAGTGTTGGTTGCGTTGTAAAGCGCAGCCATTTTAATAGCACTTCCAATTTTAGACTATAGTTGAGTTTAAATTTGAAGTTTATCGAGAAGCGACAGCATGATTTGTTTCCTTAATGCTCACTA